ACACTGAGCTACTGCCGCCCAATTTATGCTTATATTTCCATACTACTGAAGCACCATTAACGTAAGCTAAATGTTTGGCAGGGTTACAGACTAGACTATGAAAACAATTTTACTATCGTGAACATGAAGGAAGAACCAAATTTAAGATTTATAAAGTAAATGAGAAGAAAACAAAGAACAAACAAGATGAGAGAGTGTGGGAGGTGGAGGAAGGGTCTTTTGTAGGTGTCACTGACTGGAAAAAGTGGAGTTAGTTGATTGGAAGCTTCCTGAACCAAAATACAGAAGCCAGGTATACAAAAAACTACATTGGCCATAACACTTTGTTGATAACTTTCTACAGTGCTGATTTCCCTGACCTGAGGAAGCACAACAACTGTATGGCAGCTGCCCTGACCCCATCCATGTATGCACGCCTGAGGGACAAGACAACCCCCAACCACTGGACCGTGGACCAATGCATCCAGACCGGGGTGGACAACCCTGGACACCCGTTCATCAAGACTGTGGGCATGGTGGCTGGAGATGAAGAGAGCTATGAGGTTGGAGGTTATGTTGTTGCAGTGAGTTGTTGTGTCCTCAGTCCTCATATTGGGGACACTTAGTGTTTGATTTTTTTCCATCAGGTGTTTGCTGAGCTCTTTGACCCTGTGATCAAGGACAGACACAATGGCTATGACCCTCGCACAATGAAGCACCCCACTGACCTGGATGCTTCCAAGGTTATACTTGCATTTCTCTTCAGTCCTTTACATGATCTTATCCATCCATCAATTCCTATAGCCACTCCTACATTTATGTGACCTAATACTTTCCCCTCCTCAGGTCACCTCAGGAGTGTTTGATGAACGCTACGTGTTATCGTCTCGTGTCCGTACTGGTCGCAGCATCCGTGGACTGAGTCTTCCCCCTGCTTGCACACGCTCTGAGCGCCGTGAAGTGGAGCGTGTTGTTGTGACAGCTCTGTCTGGCCTGAAGGGAGACCTGGTGGGTCGCTACTACAGCCTGGGAGAGATGTCTGAGAGAGAGCAGCAGCAGCTTATTGATGTTAGTATACACTCACACACACACACAAACCCAGAAAGGGTTGGTTTATGTACTTTTTTCTTTAATAACCGTTGCCATCTAATGCCCCCTCCCTGATTCCTCTGTCCATTTACTGGCCAATCAGGAGCACTTCCTGTTTGATAAACCTGTGTCACCTCTGCTCACGTCAGCTGGGATGGCCAGAGATTGGCCTGATGCTCGTGGGATCTGGTAAGACTAGGAAAAATCAGTCTAGAAGAAGTACTGATGTTCTTGTGGCCTAGAGAACCTGAAAAAGTGGTAGTCATTGCATACTTTGCCTAGAGACAGTTTAGTTTAGAAACATAGTTTTTGAAGAGATATGCCTTTCTTTTGGTTTGCTGAAGGACATAATTCATTCACTGGTTTGTGCTGGGGACAACTGGATTTAGAGTGACAATAACAGAAATAGAAATATTTCATTGTCAACCCAGCATATTTATTTCTGCCTTCCTGATTGTCTCAGGCACAACAACGAGAAGAACTTTTTAATCTGGATCAATGAGGAGGACCACACAAGGATCATATCCATGGAGAAAGGAGGAAACATGAAGAGAGTGTTTGAAAGGTTCTGCAAGGGTCTTAAGCAGGTATAAATATCTGTGTGTCTTCTTGCATCACAAAGGTACAGTTTTTAAAACAACCTCCGCCATTCCTCCAAAATTGAAATAATGTATCCGTGAAGTCTGTTTTAAGTGTTGTAATTGAGATTATTGCCTACAACACTGTATTAAAACTAGGCTATCATAACAAAATACACAGTAGAATTAACTCACCAAAAATAAAGAAACAGGGCCGATCTGCTAAAATTGTGTGTTATTTATATGTGTGTTTCAAGAATTAAAAATATAAACAGTATTTTCTTGTAACTTTCAGGTGGAACATCTGATTCAGGAGAGAGGTTGGGAGTTCATGTGGAATGAGCGTTTGGGCTACATTCTTACCTGCCCCTCTAACCTCGGCACCGGACTCAGGGCTGGTGTGCATATTCGCCTGCCCTTCCTCAGCAGGGTAATGTTGGAAACACACTGGCAGTAAATGACAGCACACACAGGGACACCTATTCCTCCTCGTGTTAGTTCTCATGTCTGAAATTGAGACTGATATTTAATGTGATGTTTATGATCTAGGATCCTCGCTTCAAGAAGATCCTGGAAAACCTGAGGCTACAGAAGAGAGGCACAGGAGGTGTTGATACGGCTGCAACTGGAGACACTGTTGACATCTCTAACCTCGACCGTCTGGGCAAGTCAGAGGTAAACACCTAAGGAGGAAGGCAGCAGCTGAAGTCAAAGTAGAAAAGAGCAGCAGGCTAAGAGAGACAGAGTCAGACAGAGGAGTGCAGACATCCCAACAGGTGTGGGTTGTGAATGACCGAAACCCCTGCTGTTCTTTAATCTATAATCCAGGCAGGGATGTGTCAGGTGAGGTTAAAAGACTTCTGTTTACCGAGCTGAGCCTTTCATGCTCCTCCGCCACCAACAGGCACTACCAATCAAAGATTGTTAAAGGTCATAGATGGGTAAGGTCATGGTTATGGTTGTGGTTAGAGTCTACCAATCAAACCCAAGCAGTGAAAGTCCTCCCTGAAAGGCTAAACTCAGAGAGCAGAAGTCACCTGGTGTTAGTTGAACTTGCCAATGGTGCCAAATGCCAGAACAATGTTTTCTAGTTAGTAGACAACACACAGCAAATCACAAAGAATATAAATTTAAGTTATGGTCAGTGGTTCTCCATGGAAATAGTGCAGTGTAGAAGTACTCGGGTATAACTAATAATAAAGTTACTGATATTTCAGGTAAGTAGAAACATACATACTTTTTGTAAAATTCTTCTTTTGTTCTTTGTGGCCATGAAAGCATTTTGACCACAAATGGTCTTCCTCAGGTGTCACTTTTGATATCCAGTCATGAAAAGTTGAATGGAGTAAAGTTAATTGTAAAAAGTTACTTCAGATAAAGCACAAAAGCTGGCTTTAAGACTATTTTCACTTTATTCTAGTGAAACCAGCTGATTTCACTTATTTGCACCCCTCAACCTAAGAGAGGAACTAATCATTGAAATCACCTGGAGTTAATAAAATGAAATGAAACACTCAGAATGAGCCTCAGTGACACCTCCTAAAGAACCACTGAGTTAGGTAATTGCAAGGACCATTGTAGATCATTTGCATGGATTTGAATGTAACCTGAACCTGTAACAATTATGTACATATTGGTTATGTGATTTTTGACACTAATTACCATGTATCCACAGGTGGAGCTGGTACAATTAGTGATTGATGGCATAAACTACCTAATTGAATGTGAGAAGAGGCTGGAGAGGGGGCAGGACATCAAGATCCCCTCCCCCATCCCTCAGTTCAGAAAGTGAACTTCACCTCTGCTGGGAATCGTCATATAGAGCAGGCGCTCCAACCGCTGGTCGCTAAAATGTTGGTCTTACAAGATATGCGTGGCATGTATAGCACTGTACTGACTTACATGCACAATAAATTCATAACATGTACATGAATATTAAGCACAATAAACTCTCTTGAAGAACTGAGCAGTGTTATTGGCAGATGTTTTACCATTTTGGTGATGTTACAACCTCTGTGGTAGAATAGTTACCTTAAACCTAAGCTTGTCAGCTGTGGTGGAAAGTAACTAAGTACAGTTACACCATTATAAGTACTTAAATGTGAATTTTGAGGGTGCTGTTCTTAACTGAGTATTTTAGTTTAGCACTTTATACTTGTACTGCACGACATTTTAGAGCAAAAAATATTTGTCTATTCCAGCTTCATCTGACAAGCTTAGTTAGTAGTTACATAAAAAGTCCTACAGAGTGCATAGTTAAATATTATTTTCTTTTTGGGGCTTTTGTCTAGTTGGGTGCTTTCATCATGCTTGAGATATCTAGTAAGTTGTAAGTTTCCCTCAAAACTTCTCAGATGGTTTCATTATAAAAATTACAATTTGAGCCAAATTATCCAATATTTTATATTAAAAAACATCAAACATTAGCGAAAAGTCCAAAAATAAACACGTTTATCTTTTTCCTACCCCTTGAATAAGTCTTATGGTCCACCTAATTAATTAAGCTCCACCTTGACTTGCTACAATACCAAAATACAGCTTCCACACTAGATGCCTTAGTATCAGTAATATAATATCACTCAAAGGGGGACATTTTCTGAGTTACCAGTAACTTGTACATTTTGCGTGTCAGTTACTTCTTCTTAAGTTAGGGGTTGTTAATGCAGTGCATTTACTTGTTAATAGATATTTTACATTTTTTTTTTTTTTCTTTGTATTATATTACTTTGACTCAAGTATAAGATCTAAATACTTCTTTTGTCACTTCTTGTGGATTCAATCCAACCAAGCCATGTTTCATTTTCCTTAAAAGGGCACCTGAAATGTGATAAAACAAAATGTTAGATTAGATTAGAAAGTATTAGCATCATATTACTGGTAAACAAAATTACAAAACAAGATAATAAAGAAAGCTACAAAACAGGAAAGAAAGCACAACTCAAGTGCACACAAAGTTACAGGACACACTCACACCACTTCTTGACCTTCCCACTGCTCTCCTAGTTCCTTCTTGGCTCAGACAGAGATGTTGTTATCAGGGCATGGCCGACTGCCAGACTTTAATAAAGATGGAAGTATATTGGACAATCATGTCACGACTCTTTGCAATGAAGTTGCTGAACCTTTCTTGTCCTGCATTATAAGCTCAATTAAGCTAACACTGAATAAAAGTTGCTGCAGAAAATAGTTCATATTATTCTGATGATAAGATTGTTTATCTGTCTAGTAACTCTACAAAGGAAAAAGAAAATACCATCAGGAATAAAAAAAAAAATGTGTCCCAAGGATGAATTACTCCTCAGCAAGCTGGTGGTTAACCTGACATTCAAGACCTTCACCTGCCTTCTGTACAAGTGCCTTTAATCAGGGGTAACAGGCCAAGCTCATTACTGACAGACACCAGACAAGGCCAAACAGAGGTGGGCTGCTTAACACTATAACTTAAGCCACTTTTTATCTCATTTTACATGCTTAGACAAGGAGTAGTGGGATTATACTTTATAAATGAAAGGCATCCTGCCATGAGAAATTAGTGTTCTAATTATTTGGGTGAATCGGTCCTTTTAAATCCTGCTATCTCAGAGAGTCTTTCTTGAGTTGCTCCTCCTTTGCTGGCAGCAATTAATGGACGTAGACTATTAATGCTCATAGAGACTACACTAAAGAGCTCAGAAAGTGTGTGTGTATGAGTGTGTGTTTAGCAAAGCGTAATGCTGCAATTATTACATTCTGAAGGAGGCCACTAAATTGGATTTTTTGAGCAGGGATAGTGAATAGTCAGATCACTCTTCACAGGAGGAACCATATGTTGGTATTTAACTGGATTTTATCTCCC